CCCCCCCCCCCCAGTTACATATCCTTAAAAGAGGCCTGTATGGCGAAGCTAGATTAATTATTCAAGAACTGCTCAAAATCTATGCCCTGCATGCACATCAGTCAATTAATGTCGAACAAGTTTAAAATCATAAACAATAACTTATCAGATCCTATATTTATTAATTGGTATTACTTAAACGATAACATAAAATGTTACTGACATGCATATGTAGTTAAAATCCAAATTGAAAGAATCGTCGTTCCCAATTACTCAATGGATTTATTGCGGCCTTTGTAGTGCTGACGTATATTGACCCATGGCCAATATTATGATGAAACTGTTTTGGATAACTTTTGTATCAAAATAGCTCAAGGAATAATGCACATTTTTAAGAATCCAATTTTCATATTGAAGCGGATAACCTTGACCTGATAATTGTTTGTCTGCATGTATGGTTAGATTTTTTAACCTATAGATATATAATTAATAATTAATCACCATCTAATATACATATATTCTCCTTTTTATTTTAACCACCATGCATTGTTTAGGATTCAGTAAAAGTCAACAATATATAAAATGTCGGGAGAAAAACGAATACCGATGGTTCAATTCATAGAAAATGAAGAACTGGCAATTGGGAATGAAGACAAAGATAGCCGCCGAAAATTATCACAAACCAGTTGTTCTAGTGACGCCTGTTTCGTGAACCCACTAATGAGGCGAGTGAAAGAAAATTTATTACATTCTTTCCTTGACTTTGCAATTTAATTTTTAACTTCATGCAGGAGTGGCGGGGGAGGGGTACGTGGCCGGCTCAGTTACATCTACATCTATATGTGTTAAGTCGGTAAAATCCTTTCGAATATCACACCAACTATTTTTAATTATATACCTATTCTAAAAATCTATATTTACAAGAATATTTACTGTTATTAAAAAGAATTGCTCAAATTGTTTCTAAACTGGAGGAGATTCTCTGAGCTTACGTTTAACTTAATACCATTTCTTATAACATACTGGGGCCGGTTGTATAAAACTCTTAATCACTTTTTTAATCACTATTTTGTAGTTAAATAGTGATTAACTCTCAAATACGCGCTTCTTATTGGATGACGTTTCCACTAACTATAGTTAACTTTAATCAATTTTTTATACAACCGGCCCCAGATCAGGTAATTGTTCTTTTTTCAGTCATGCGCATATATCTGCCTATCTTCAGGCAATATAATACACATATTCACTTTAAACAAAATTATGGTGGGAAATAGCTGAAAATTCCCTTTTCCGGCTTCCTTCTCATTTTAAAACACGTACTAGTTAATAGCTACTGTGATAGTTTCATTTACAGGCCAGTTTAGGTTCCCACATAAGTTAATTCCCAAGGTCCACAATAAATTAACAATATGTTAAGATATCTAGTATTAATTTCCTCACTCGTGTTCAAGGGAACACTGTCATTGTCATAAAAAAATTACACTAATTTTCGGCCATGCATTGCTGGGCGGGACAAATGCCACCTTTAGAACTTTCTGACTTAGATAATCTAAACTAATGAACATAATCCAAATTAATGCTGAATAGCACATTTTTAAAATTATATTTTAAATCACATGTCGCGATTTAACGTTTATTATTTACTAGTGCCATTCGACGAGGTAAATCTTTTAAAAAATCATTCTTCAAAGAAACAAAATTAGAAGACTCGGATATGAAGGAAACTGATGATCTTCGACGAAATGTCTTTCATTACGCTGTATCGAGACCAGACACTTTAAGAAAGCTACTGGAGAATGCTGAAACAGTAAGTTTAGGTGCATGCTTAATAGTGTTCGTATAAAATCGTGCCATGCAGTACGTGTAGTATATATATATAGCATTATTTAATCTCTGGATACTTACTCTGCATGATCCCCCAAATTTTCATACTTAGAATTGTAAAACCCGGAACACACCCGGAAAATCTGAATTATTTGATGTCGAACACACCCGTTACAACCTGAAATCCACCTGGAGCACCCCGGAACCCACCAGGAACACCCCGTATACCCACCTGCATGGAACACCCCGGAATCCTGCTAAAAATAGTCCAAGAAGTTTTGCTCGTCGAGTATTTGCACGTGCTTTCACCAATTCGGCGCTAAAGCTTTGATAAATGCAATCAGATGAGTTATCAATCTGATGTTATCAATTTTATACCACCTCACTACTACATGAGACTGCTATAGTTTTATCATTGCTCTCTATATATAAAGGCTAAACATTTGACAGCATCGCATTTCGGTTCATGCATCGATTTCGTTTCTTTGGAAAATTAGGTTTTGCTCGAGGTTTTTTCTTGCGGCCGTATGTATACGATGGTTGACGTCTGCTTTTAATGTTTATGCTATATACGTACTATATCTATTTGGTATTTATTAGCCCGCCGGGATGTCGGGATCTCACTTGCACGAAATAATATACTAGTCAAATAGGCGTGATCTCGGGATAAAAATTTCCATGCACATGCACAAGCACTCACCAACCGTTCTGGTCCGCTATAGAAACTATCAAAACAACCGATATCGTCCCGGCAAATGGGACGATAACATATCATGGGGCGAGCATGAGCTGCACTACTTCTAGAATATTATATTATCAGTATATTATCATAATGTCAGATTCCCAATTTCGGTTACGATTCTAATGACATAGTGGTATACTGGCACTATTTGTCTATTTCTTATATCTACAGAACTTTGGACCATATATCAAGCCTGTATTAATAGACGGGGGATTTGTTTTCATTTTCACAAACATTGAAAAAAACTCCACAGGAACCAGAGTATATCAAATCTTATCATATATTTTCGTCCAGGAAACATCTGTTCAAGAGGCTCTAAATCAAGCAGATGAAGAAGGAGAAACTCCAATTCATCGTGCAGCTGTCATTGCAAATATTGAGGTATAAGCAGCGCATTCACGCATTTATTTTAAATATCTATACTATTTTCACTATATTTGATGTCATGTTATATATACTGATTAATGTCTATATAATTCCAATAAAATATAATTCTCATTACGTACCGATAGGTTTTCTTATTGTTATAACCATAATCAACTTTACAAATTAAATAATAGTAGGCTTTATTACTCGCTGGGGCACCTGTGCCCCGGGCGAGTATAGGTTTCGGCTTGCATTTTTCTTGGATAGTGGATCGTCGATAGCCACAAAATAGAATATTAATGAGCTGCCTAATTTTCCCCCAATTATCCATAAGGCTCCTGCCATTTTTACCCAAATTATCCATAAATAACCCTGCATTTTGAGGAAAATTCGGGAAAATTGAACAATTTTACAAGGAATTTCGCACGGAAACAGCAACCTTCGCAAATCGCAAGTTTAAATATACGTTTGGCTGCGCTGCTTTTATATATTTTGAGAAGAAAGCGACACCGTTCGATTCAGCGTAAGAAATTGTACTCACGGATGTCAAATGTATTACTAAACAGCAGTATTCTAGCGATTTATGGCCTTTGAAAATCAAACGAAATTGGTCAAATTGTATTGTTGATAAATCGCTCGCAGTACGTATGTCCTTGTATTTGTAATGCCTCATGGCGCAATAACGATAAAAATATCACCGTTCGATTCAGGGTAAGAAATTGTACTAATTACGGATGTCAAATTATTACTAAACAATAGTATTCTAGCGATTTATGGCCTTTGTCTTTGAAAGACAAGCGAAATTGTATTGTTATTGTTAACAATACAATTTCGCTTGTCTTTCAAACACAAAGTGTCAAAGGCCATAAATCGCTAGAATACTATTGTTTAGTAATAATTTGACATCCGTATAAATTAGTACAATTTCTTACCCTGAATCGAACGGTGATATTTTTATCGCTCATACGGATGTCAAATGTATTACTAAAGGCCCTGTCACACTATTGCGTATCGTACTAGCGTATGGCAGCGTATGAAAAATATCACTCATACGCCGGTATACGCTGACATACGCTAGTGGTACGTTAGGCATACTATGGCATAGGTTGTATACGTTTCAAGCACGGTCGCGTACGGTGGCATACGCTGGCATACGGCGAGGCAGAAAATTTTTTTAAGCATGCTCAAATATTTTGTGCGTATCGGACGTACGCTTTATACGATAAGCATACTCTAGGCACACGCTGAGTACACTAGAGGTACGCCAGATTTACGGTACTCATACGCTGGCATTTCAAAGGATTTTTGCGCGTATGAAAATTATTTCATTAATTTTCATACGCTTCTCATACGTTTCTCTCATACGCAATAGTGTGACAGCACTGACAGGGCCTTAAACAAGAGTATTCTGGCGATTTATGGTTTTGTCTTTGAAAGCCAAGCGAAATTGTATTGTTAACAAATCGCTCATACGGATATCAAATGTATTACTAAACAACAGTATTCTAGCGATTTATGGCTTTGTCTTTGAAAGCCAAGCGAAATTGTATTGTTGATAACTTTGGTATCATTGGTTTTCTCTTTTTCGGCCGTATACCAGTGGATTCGTCTTACTTCTCTCTTCATTTTGACAGTATTTTGAGCCGAAAGCCCCCAAATATTTTATTTTGAACGTTTTAAAGCGCAGTTTATTCCTAGCGTACGGACCAACTGGCGGCTGACAGTCTTAATTGAAGAATGTAGCGTACTAAATACAACTTTACTTGTATTTTTGTAGGGCGTACCGCATTTTAGTACTGTGTTAAGCCTTTTGCGCTCGTATTCGACTTTTCCGCTTAGTAATGTGCGTATTTGTATGAGTTGTATAGCCCCAGCGAGTTAACGCTCCACAAAGCGTCTTGTTAAACTTAAAAGCCGAGTTATCCTTACATGTAAAAATTGTACAAAAAGAAATGGAGGTCATAAAACGATCCTTTTATACACAAGCTATAGGGTCCAGGTAGCCAGACCTGCATGCACCGCAGACAACCCAAACATAAATATTAATTAAAGCCATTAAATCTGTTTCTGATTTTACTTCACTAACATGAAAAATTCCCTCCAAGATGTATAACAATAACCACCCTTATGAATAGTTTCAGAACCTAATCTAAATATGAACTTTGCATATTATATTTCTTTTCCAGTCTTTGAAAATACTTCATGAATATGATAATTCATTAATGAAGTTGAAAACGACCATACGAAACAGATCAGTCCTCCATTTGGCTGTGAAAAGCAGATCAGTGGTCCTTGTGAAGTTTGTTCTCAGTAAAGATCTTGACTTGGTGAACACTGTGGACAGTATGTCGCAAAGTCCTTTACATTATGCTGCTGGTTTGAAACAGTCCAGTGCTTTGGAACTTTTAATATCCAAAGGAGGTGACGCAACAATCACGTAAGTTATATCGGATCGTATGCCAATACTAATATCCGACCTTTATTTACAGTATACCGCATGCTTGGCCTGTTAAGAAATTAGCCAACTACATGCAGTATATTAAATTATTTCTGTTATATTTGAACCACAACTTAGACCAAAGGTATTTCAATCTTTGAACTTTTCACTGCAATTTCTAAAATGAAGTACGAAAATCGGAGATCTCGTCTACATCGGACTGCAGCAAACCTCGAATTCGGGTTACACTATCAGATTTCCCATGAGAGCTGGAACAAACTGCTCGGACCCTTGCATGCAATTCGTTCCACGTCCTTATTTTTGGACTTTATTATACATTATGGCTATACTTCCATAAACAGTGTTCAGCAAAATATTGATATTTTTCACTTAAGTAAAAATAGAAGGTATACTAACTCCTCAACTTTAACTTTGGTAGAAGTAAACTGTAAAAGTGTTGCCTGAAAATTTATTTACTTTATCCAGAAAGATAGCTTAATGATGATTGTTATTGGAAGAAATCTTTATATAAAACAATATAAACATACGAACTATAAAACAAACAACTAAAAACGTACAATGATGAACGTTTGGCTCAAGTCCGCTGACCCCCGCGTCTCTCTAAACGTCAGGTAATATCACTTATAATGTAAGTTGCTAATTCTCGACATCCTCCGGCGGGCCAGAAAGTGCGTCAATCCAAACTGACACTGCATGGTTGCGAAGCTTTCAGAGCTGCTTGGCGTTTTATGACCCATGTGCTGTGGTGTTGAAGGATGCTGTCATAGATGGTGAGTGGTGTTCATTAAATGTTCTAAGAGGATCGTCAATTGGAACTACTACTTCCAAGATCGTAACTTCTTTTAAGATGGCTTGTCTCAGTAGATTAATTGTCCATTCAGAATTGTTTTGTTTGTTCTCTAGCGAGATTCCTTTGCAGTTCAACAGGAAGTCTTCCAAGTAGAACAGGTGTTAGGAGGGATCCAAAGGATTCCTCAGACTTTCCTAGCGCAGACAGACCCCTAATATGATTCTCAATAGTGTCGTAAAACTGTCTTAAACTGATTAAGTTTGTTAATGTTTTGGGAATGTTCAACAGGGCTTGCATATGGGCATTGACTATCTTGTATGATTGGCCAAATCGTTCCTTTAACAGTATAATTGCTTGTTCGTAATTGGTGTTTGTAAGGGGAAATCCACTAATTGCTCTTTCAGCATCTCCACTGGTTTGGGCCTGCAAGTAATTGAATTTCTGAATTACTCCAGTAAGATTTGTGTTTGAATGAACTGCAGCGTCAAACAAGTCCCAGAATGTTTGCCAATGAAGAGAGTTTCCATTAAATGTGGGAAGGCTCAATTTTGGAAGTCTGCTTATATTTTGCTTTGTGTGAGTAAAGTTCGAAGAAGAGGGTGAAACTTGATTTGCAGCAACTTGTTGAACAGCGGGTGATATACTTCGGGTGTGCTAACTTGTTGTACAGCGGGTGATGCTTTGGGTGTGTTAACTTGCTGTGGTGCGGGTGATGCTTCGAGTGTGCTAACTTGTTGTGGTGCGGGTGATGCTTCGAGTGTGCTAACTTGTTGTGGCGCGGGTGATGCTTCGAGTGTGCTAACTTGTTGTGGGTTTTGTGCTTGTATCTGTGGTGAATGTTGTAGGAATACCTGTGCTTGACTTGTTTCTGGTGCATTGTTCTCAGAACTTGGTATGGATGACTCACTGGGCTCGGAAAATTTAAGTAAATACATTAACAAATTATAGCTTATAATTAGTCGAATTAGCGAAAATTGACTATATTCATGACGCGCTTGTCAAGCGAAAAACACACTGCCCAAAGATTTTATTCTTTATTCTAGTAGATGTGTCATAACACTCAGTAGCTGATAGATTGGATACCTGATACCGTTGCACTTTTGAGAAAAAAAAATTACTGCCGGCATACTAACACGAATATTTAATCCGCTGTCTGCAAGACGTTTTTAAAAAATCACAATATTTTGTTGGCTTCAAGTGATCGGGTACCCTGGATTCCAGAGCCTTCGACAGTAAATAATAAATTGAAACGTCGCGAAGGCTCTGCATGGTTCAACGGGGAGATTCTTTGATGAACTGCGCCAATCACAAAACAGAATTAGTGGTTTTAGTACAGATTCTTCCGGTTTAACCAAAGAATCTCCCCGTTGAACCAGAGCCTTCGCGACGTTTCGATTTATTATTTACTGTCGTAGGCTCTGGAATCCAGGGTAGTGATCAGGATAATTTTTAGTTTAGGTTTATGCCTTGGCAGGAAATAATAAAATATATAAGTTTCAAGAAGTTAGAATAAAAGCGCGGGATGAAGGTGAGATATAAAAAAGCTCAAATATCACCGCGTATAATTAACGTTTTAACTTGTTTTCGAACGCGAAAATAATTGCGACAAAAATTTAAAAACTGACTACAATTCCAAAGTCAACGTTTTTTGTTCATTTTATGAATGACTTCTTCCACACGGAAAGTATGGGAGAATTCTGTAATCTTACGAAATTCGAGTGGTCGGTTTTTACACGGACTGTCTCTTAAATGCATGATACTTATTGTTACTTTTATAACGTCATGCATTTAACGGTCCTCAAGGGCATACATGTACATTGCACCCTCTGACCCTCATATTTTTCATCCATCTCATGAGTATATAAATGCATTATTTGAATTTCTAGTATATACCGTAGTCTGCGGAATATAACACAGCTGTTCTTGCTGCTCTTATAGGGACGAGAATGGTCAACTACCACTCCATATAGCTGCAAGTAAAGGTTTAAAAAACAACGTTTCACTGCTGTTACGAGAAAACCCAGATTTTGTGGATGTCCTCGATAAATCTTCTCGATCACCACTATTATTAGCATCTCAAAACAATTTTCCCACCGTCGTCTCATATCTACTTTCTAAAAATGCGGATTATGAGATTCAAGATAAACTTGGACTTACGGCATTTGATTGGGCAGTCTCAAGCAATTTTCCAGCAGTTGTTCAAGTTTGCCTCGATACTAACGTCTGGAAAGAGGTAAATATACTCCATTTAATTAATGTTCACGAACTAGGAACATTAAGATTATGATTAGCATTTCTATAGTGCAAATTTGCATGTGGATATGATCAAATGCGCTTTACACCAAGTATATTACGCTGCACCTAATTACTTACTTAGCCTAGATTTTTATCTTTACAACAATGGACCATTTGCATTACAGACTAAATTTTGATCTAAACAAGTCTAGACAAAAATGTCATCACAGCTTGAAACAGCATTACAAAATTAGTAATATTCCAAAGTTTCGTTGCGAGATGTAAGTTGTAAAATGCGGATAATATAGCCTTGCGTAATTCGCAATTTTCAGTCATTTTGTACAATTACAAACGCGAACTGTTGATGCCCCAACACCCGATTGGGCTGTCAATTTCCCGTGCGTAATACAAAATTACTGAAAAACGGCAAACTTCGCAAGGCTATATTATCCGCATTTTACAACATTTCGCAACGAAACTTTGGAATATTACTAATTTTGTGATGCTCTTTCAAGCTGTGATGAAAGTTTTGTCTAGATCAAAATTTAGTCTATAATGCAAATGGTTCATTGTGATATTACTTTCTTTGTCGTGAATTGCCTCCTATATTCACAACAACTCACTAAAAGTAGAGATTTCAAACGCTTTTATGAAAAAATATATTTATTCTCGCCCCGTCTCAACACAATCACACAAATTCTTGCAATGTACAAACCGCATGCTTTTTGATTGACACTTGCGCATTAATTAACTTCAGGTATGCCATAAACTGTTAAATATTAAATATTGACAATCTCCAACACTCTCCCCCCATTTATCTACTATTTGAGATAAATGTCGTCCAATACACCTGGAGATTGACCAATGATACAACTGTACTAAATGTCAACCTTAGTATATTCTAAATCGTTCTGACTCTTCACAGTTCAGTGTCCAAATGTTCACTTGAAATTAAGTCTATTGTTCATCCTCCGCGATCTCGTGAACACGCAATTTGGCCGCTACAGCAGCATCCCGCTTCGGTCTAAATGTCTCCGCTTTCGGGTTGAGTATTGCCGGTACTGGTTCTTTCTTGTCAACCGAGAGCTCTAGTGGGTACAAATGCTGCACGGCACGCTCAATTTGAGACTTCTCTGTACGTACTTTGGCTCCCCTGATTTTCCCATCTTTTCCCACAATCAGCGCTTCGACAATTCCTAACGGCCAACGACCACGTTTTCTCTCATCTGTCGCAATAATCACTACGTCTCCTACCGTTGGCACTGCTCCACTACATTCCGCTTTCGAACGATGTCTCTCACGAAGGCTACGCAAATATTCCTGGGTCCACCGTCTCCAAAGCGCTTCTTTGCATTTCATCAAGTGCTTCGCTCGTTTTCTAAGGTCACCGTCCTCAATATTATGTGGTTGCAATTCGGGTAAAATATTACTATTCAGAAACAACATCGAACTTGGCGTTAACACTGGAAATTGCACGTCATCCTCCACGTAAGATAATGGACGGTTATTTAACGCCACCTCGACATCAAGCAATACTTCCTCTAACTCGTTCCATCGCAGGAAACCGTTTCCAATGGTCTTGCTTAACGCTGCTTTCACGAGCCCAATCATCCTTTCGAATTGCCCGCCCCACCACGGGGCGCGACTAAGATTGAACTGCCATCTTATCTGATTAATCGATAAGTAATCCTGCAATATTTCATCTTTAGCCACGGCTCTCATCCACGTTGCAGCTCCGCGAAATGTTCCCCCGTTGTCAGAGTAGATTCGCTCAGGTCTCCCTCTTCGTGCAACGAATCGTTTCAGGCTTAGGAGAAAATCGGTCATTTCCAACGTAGGCAAAAGTTCCATGTAAATTCCTCTGGTTAAACTACATGAATAGAGCAGCACATACGCTTTCCCTTCCTTTTGCTTGGATACTCGATATTGCAGAGGACCGGCATAGTCCACTCCAATTACTTGGTAGGGGGTGATTCCTTGGGTTCGTGTTGTTGGTAGGATCCCTGGTGGTGGTGTTGCATAAGCAGTTGCTGTAAATCTCTTGCACCCATGGCAGCTCTTGCGTACAGTCTTCTTAGTCTTGGTACCCAGTAACGGCTGCGCACTTTGGTCATAGTTAGTCCGACTCCACCGTGTAGTGTTACGAGGTGTGCTTCTTCAACGACTTTGTGGGTGAACTGGTGGGTGTCTGGGAGGTAAGTGGGGTATTCTCCCTGTATCCGACCACGACATTCCAACACGCCATCCTTGCCAGGTTGTAAATTTAGCGCGGTGCGGTCTTGTTCGAGATCACAATTCTCTCGGGCTTGTTTAATCCAAAATTATCGTTGGCGTTCAGTTTCGTCCGTTGTCAGCGGTCCCTTTATGCGTTCTGTTCCTCGACTACGAAGCGAGTTGTGGGCAAATCTTCGGATCCATGAACACACTCTTACAGCTTTCTGTAAAGGAAATCTCTGTAATACGTTGTCGATCTCATTCTTTTCGTCGACTGCAACTGTGAATAATTGTTTTACTGCTCTGGCTTCGGCATCGCTTTCTGTCGTTGGCTCAGTTACTATGTCTTCTGGCCAAAGTTCAGTGTTAGACAGCCATTCAGGGCCATTCCACCACAAGTTTACATTGTCTACTTGGCCCCCTCTACTTGCAAGGTCAGCAGGGTTGAACGCTGAGGGCACGTGTCGCCACACAACTCCTTGGTGCTGGTTGATCTTGTTAATCCGGTTTCAAACGAATTGTTTGTACTCGCCGCCCCCCGTAATCCAATGCAGAACTACCGAGCTGTCCGACCAACATTGAACTTTCGTAACCGGAAATCCGATCAATGCCTCCTTTACATTTGAAGCCAAGTTAACTGCCATATGCGCCGCTACCAGTTCAAGCCTCGGAATCGTTAATCCTCGCTTCGGTAGTCTTGATCTCGCCGCGACTAGGCCTTGGTTGGTCCCCGAATCTTGCTCAACTACGGCATAGACACACGCCGCAACCCCGTTACCGCTCGTATCTCCAAAGGAATGCAGTTGGATGGCTTCAATTGGCTCTTGATATACTGCCAAAGATCTCTCAGTTTCCACTTGTACTGGAAGTTCACTGTTCCACTTGTTCCACAACTTTGCGAGGGTTTCTGAAAGTGGTGCATCCCAGGCGTTCTTGGTGTCACATGCTGCACGGTAGATAAGTTTACCCGTAAGCGTTAAAGGAGATACGAAGCCCAAAGGGTCATATATCTTGGCGAGCTTTGCCAAGACGCCCCGTTTGGTAAACACCGTCTTTTCAGTGGGCATTGTAACAGCGACTGTATCTCGTTCTTTATTCCACGCAAGTCCGAGCAAGCTACTATCTCCCCCTTCTGGGGTCCCTAACTGCTGTTTTGCATAGGTAGGATCACCGTCTTGAGACTGTGTCGTCTCTAATTCACGCTCATTCGAGTGCCATTTGTGAAGCTTAAACCCCGCATCCTCGAAAATAGTTGTTGCTTTCTCTTTAACTTCTTCCGTTTCCGATACTGATGTTGACCCCGTTATCAAATCGTCCACGTACAACTCTTCACGCAGTTTTGCTACTACTTCCGGTTCTCTTTCTTCCCAGTTACTCAGGTGTGCATCAATGACTCCCCCCAACAAGAAAGGAGATGATACAAGCCCGAAAAGTGCCCTGGTAAATCTCAAGGTCTCTAGTTCTGATTGCTGATCTTTCCGCCAGTGAAATCGAAGCGCGTCTCGGTCGTTTTCGCGAATACGTACTTGCAAAAAGGCCTTTTGCAAGTCACCCGTCAGAGCTACTGGATGAAACCGTCCTCTAACTAACACATCCCACATTCTATTTTGCAATGGAGGTCCCGGATGTAGACACTCATTCAGCGATGGAACACCGTCATGTGCTTTTGCAGAAGCGTCATAGACGACTCGGATTTTTGTGGATTCTGCATCAGGTCGAATAACTGCTTTGTGAGGGATGTAGAATTCTCTTCCTACGCTCCGCAGTTCAGCTTTCTCAATTATCCCCTCTGCCTTTTGTTCCTCCATTATCTCCCCGTATTTGGTTGTCAAACCTTGCCGCTCGAGTCTGTTCGTTAAACTTGCTAACCGTCGCAAACTATTAGCTTCGTTGTTGTGTAATACAGGATGGTTGCCGCGCCACGGTAGCCCTGTTTCGTACCAACCAGCTGGGTCCCGGGTGAGTTGTTCTTTGAACTCGTCAAATACACTGTGCTGGTCGTTGGTGGGTGTATCTTTCAAACCCAAGACATCCAGGCGACACAGTTCTTCGTAATCAGCCTGGGATGTCTGAGTCAAAAGCATATTGGTCACGTCGCAGGATTCTTTTCCAGGGGACATGATGGTCCATCCAAACTGTGTCAACTCAGCTACTGGTTGCCCCGATTTACCAACTCTGGGTGGCTGATCTGTTTTCAACATTGCGTAGTCGCTTGCTCCGAGAATGATGTGCACCGGAAGTCGCTCTTTCTGATCAATGTCTTCCATGATGACTCCTTTCAAGTGTGGGTTTTGCTCTATCATGGTCTGATATCTCGGATTGTCTATGAACACAAGTTCTCCTTTGTTCACCTTGGTGACTTCGACTTTCATAGAAAATTTACCCGATGTTCCCTTGATTTCAATGGTTGACAGTTCGACTTCCCTCGTAGTCACGCCGAGCATCATATAAATTTTTCGTATTTCTCTCTTGGACGGCCGCTTTGGAATGCGATCCAAAAGTGCTGCCGACGCGTAGGAACTGCCTGCCCCGGTGTCGAGCAGGGCTCTGCACTTAACACCATCAACTTCGACTATAACCACTGGGTGCGTAACGCGCGTGTTCATATGACCTCCAGCCACTAAGAGTTGTTCTGATTGCTCACAGATTGAAGTATGGTGTTTCTTGTTACATTTCTGACATCCGAGTTTGCTTTTACAGTTGACAGCACGATGTTGACTTCCTGTGCAATTGAAGCATAGTCTCTTTTCCGCCAGAATCTTTTTTCTTTGTTCTCTTGTTACA